GTGATTGGCTGATTAGAAATTAAGTGTTAACGAGCAGTTGGACAGTTGTACCTAATAAAGTGGCCGGTGAGTGTATATATATATAGTGTGTGTGTGTGTGTGTGTGTGCGCGTGTGTGTGTAAAACACTGTTAATTGTGCACTGATTTGTTGTGGCACAAGTCAGGGTTTAATCACTAGACTAGTAGCCAAATAAGAATGAAGCTTTAATTAAATGCTTTTGAACTAAATTGTTTCTTCTTAACCAAGCACAGTGTTTTAAAATATTCGTTTAGGATTGTGCATCCATATGTAGGATCGCAGTATGATCTCTACAGCTTCAAAACGTGCTTTAAAAACGGGCTTGTTTGAATTGAGGAAGTCCACTGTCCAAGATGGCGGCGGTGCTGACGTGACGAACTTAAGTTAACAAGTTAGCTCCGCAGCTCCAGAAACAACAACACCGGCAGCGAAATACATGACAAAAAGACAGTAAGGTAAATTAAAAATATATATGTTTCTGATAACTACTGCACTTATTGAGTCCAGGAAAAAAGGCAATAAACAGGGAAGGCGCCTAAGTACAGTTTTATTTTAGCTAGCTTATCTTTGCTAAATTAAGCTAACCGGCCTGGAGTTTTCAGGTTTAAGAGCTTTTTACTTTATTTATTATCTCAGACAAAAATTGTCCACAACATAAAAAAACACGTCAAGAAAAAAAAAAAAACAATAAAAACATCAAAAAGCATACAAACAGCTATTCCAATGATGAAGTTGACAAAGCTTTTACATGAAGTTGTTTGACACAAACGGCACATAAATTTATACATATAGTTCCTCAACAAAGCATGARAAGTTGGAATGTTACTCATGACAAGCATTTTTAATTAATTGCAAAATATTATAACTACAAGTTTTATTTCAGTTAATGGGACAATATTAACAGTGTAGCGTGTGAATAGGATAGAGAAGGAAGAGATTACATAAATCATACTTTGAAAAGTTTTTTGTTTGTAAGTGTTTATTTTTTCAATTAAATATGTTTTAATAAGATGCAACAAGGAAAGCAAGTTTTTAGAATTATAAATTTAACACTTATGAGCTTGTATACCAGTAGTGGTAAAATTAAATTTAATGTTTTACCTGAAAACAAAAAGATGGGATGCGAAGAACCATTTTATTTAATTTTTTTTGTTATCGAAGTCATAAAATGGTTTAATTCACAATAAAAATTTAGCTTCAACGTCTACTTCTCTATATTTAATGTTATACCTATTTTCATATTTACTTATGACTTTATTGGTTAAACAATAAACAATGTATTTTTTTTTTCAATTAGACTCTTTTTTTTTTTTAAAAAATAGCAAGCAAATTCTCATTAACTCAAAACAGCATCTTCCTCTTTGTTAGATTGTGTGAGTCTTTATGTTAACTGGTTTGATTTGTGGGCAGTTTTGCTCCAAATACTTGACTTTAAAGATGATTGTGGTCTGTGACTTGCTGGAACGATGACAAACATCACATTAAAACAAACAGACCCAAAGCTGTCACCCACCTGAAGTGAGTGCTCATTGTGTAAGGATGTACACATGGAGGAAAATGAACCACTCATGATTGATTAATTCACTCCACTATAGCAGTCTTTATCTGTTATCTGATGCTGTTTTTGTTTGTTTTCATGTGTTTTGGTGAAACTGGATGATCCAGAGCCTCATTGTGGATCCTGCTCTCTTCATTTGATGCTTCTGTTTTGCAACCACAAGATGAATCCTGAAGGTGATGACACTGTGTGCACTGTTTGCATTGTTTATAACTGTAGTGGTTAGGAGCCTTGTCTTTATTTATTAGTTGAAAATTTAAACAGTAAATGGCATGTAATTTGTTGTTATTCTATATGGGTTTGGATCATCTTGCAAAGTACAAAAAAAAGGCATTTTAGTTAATCAAGTTACAAAATAATACAACCACTCATTTGATCATTTCAATTTTATTTGGGGTCTCAAGGTGCTTACTCGAACAATAACTTTCAGAAACAGGTAAAATAATTTTTTTTACACCAAAATAGTTTTAAAAACCACTTTTCATCAGATATGACTTCTCGAAAGGAACAAGCTACTTTAGTTTCAAACACTGAATGATTTTGCATATTTAACACAGAAAGTAAACATTTACAGTAACAGGATTTTTTTAAATTAGTGAAAACAGCTATTCAGATCAAAACAGAAAACACATGTTCAAACAACAATGAAAAAAAAAAAATACAAAGTTACAGAAACATAAATTCAACACTTGATTTTTGAATGTGATGCAGAGACCAGAGGAGGTATTTATTCATATGCACAACTTAATCCCTGTACCGTTCTAAAAAAGTGGACGATGACCTTCTCATCTAACTTGGTGAATCAAATCAGCTTTATAAAGTTTAAAACAATCAAAGTGCTCTATAATAAATCCATAAAACCATAAAAAACAGAAACAATAATACACTCAAGTGAGATAGAAAAAAAATCTAGATGCTAGAAACCATCATTGTACAGCATGGAAGAAGAGTATGGGTCAATTTGCAGCCTTTTCAATAAACAATAAACGTCCCTCATATTCAGTTTTACATGTGAGTGTAACTAAATGGATCTAATCAAATGCTTATATTAAACACCCTACTATTGAACTATAAATACTTTAGCCCTCTCTGACCCTGGTTATTGGTGCACTCACCTGTAACGTCAGAAATGAAGAGCATTCAATTTGAAATATTCAGAACTGATTCGAATTATTGCAAGTTGAGACAAACTTTTCAAACTCCTTCTGTAGCTTTCCCAGCACTTCTCTTTCCTTCTCTTCATAAAGGCAGTACCTCACTGGGCTGTGAGTATAAAAACTCCTTGGAGATTAAAATATGTAGGAAATGAGACACAGTTTTTGTTGAAGTCTCAATGAACCTTTGAGTGTTTGCAGCCAAGTGGTCAGCAAGCTGTGCAGCTGCAATTTGTATAGCGAGTGTTTGAACATCCCATCATGTTTTTGCGCTAAAGGATTGCAGAGATGATTTTTATTTTGATGTCCACCGCTACCCACGTCATTTGCTAGTACAGGTGTCAAAATGCATCTGTAGTGATTTTGAGACAGGTTTCAAAATTTTGGTGGATATGAGACGGGTTAGAGACACCCGAAAAAACATTTTGGTAGAAATGAGATGGGTTAGAGACACCAGAAACAACATTTTGGTAGATATGAGACGGGTTAGAGACACCCAAAACAACATTTTGGTAGATATGAGACGGGTTAGAGACACCCGAAACATTTTGGTAGATATGAGACGGGTTAGAGACACCCGAAACAACATTTTGGTAGATATGAGACGGGTTAGAGACAAATGAAACAACATTTTTGTAGATATGAGACGGGTTAGAGACACCCGAAACAACATTTTGGTAGATATGAGACGGGTTAGAGACACCCGAAACAACATTTTGGTAGATATGAGACGGGTTAGAGACAAATGAAACATTTTGGTAGATATGAGATGGGTTAGAGACAAATAAAACAACATTTTGGTAGATATGAGACGGGTTAGAGACACCCGAAACAACATTTTGGTAGATATGAAATGGGTTCGAGCTGCCTGTGACGGCTCACCATTTACTTTTACTCCCAGCTTAGTGAGATATCACCTTTACTCACAGTCATTTAGCATAAAACATAATTACAGAGGAAAACAATTTGTGTAAAAAGAAAAATATATTGTTCCTCTCGCAATTAAGTTTCATGAAAACCACAACAACACTTAAAATTTTGTTCTCTCGATCCTTTTCTTTCACTTGTAATGCTAACTCTCTGAAGAATTTAGGAAAATTTAAATTATTAAGATAACCAACTAGACACTTATTTTTTTTAGTCAAGTAAGGCTTTTTTTTTTCTTCCATGCCCTAAATCCATGGTATCTTGCATCACACCTGTGAGTCACGTAAGGGAAAAAAAAAAAGAAAAATCAACTTTAATACTCTTAACTGAGAAGAGTGTTGTAATTTCAAACATTATTTGACCGGTCAACAGTAGAAGTAGCAGCTTTATTTTACAGTATTTGTTTTGTGTGTGTTTTTGCTAAAAAGCAATAAAAGCTCCAAAATGTCTGTTAAATATCATTAGAGAAGAAGATCATGTGCCAGCGAGACAAAAAAAAGCAACTGATGCTAGATATTCTCCTGCAGTAAACATGTTTTCAGTTTTTTTTTTTTACTTTGTTTGCACAGTGATAAATTTTTTAAGTTACAGGAAAGCAACATCGATACAGAAAAATAGACCCAAAATGTGCACAAAATCACAGAACTCAATGTCAATATTGTAGCAGTCGACCTAATGAAGATGCCACTCGCTAAAAACGTTTTAACTGATGCTACCATACAATAATCTCATGTGCAACTCGTCTATATTTACATCATGTTCACCTGCCTTCAGTATCAGGACCAGCGTACATGAGGACAGTCAAAGTACCTCTACTTTAATAAGATACTTTTGTGCAAATGCTATGCTTTAAATTTAAACCCCAGAGTGGTGGCAATGCCTTTTTTTGTTGTTCACACACAACCCGTTTTAATTAATAAATATACAGAACGTTCATATTCAAGTTCTTCTTTTAAACATATATATATATTTATATTTTTATTACAGACAATTTAATACTCAACCCGTTTAGTAGGTCAAAAATACAAAATAAAACCATATGTCTGTGCATTTCATTTCACCATTTACTGTGCTACGGAGCTAAAACAGTTACAGTTTACGTTGACATCAAAAAAGAGATTTGGCATTGAAAAGTAAAACATTGCAAAACTTATGACACTCTCATCTTTTGCTGCAGCCTTTATATACTGTGTGTGTGTGTGTGTGTGTGTGTGTGTGTGTGTGTGTGTGTGTGTGTGTGTG